GATGAGGCTTTCTGCACAGACCGTCAGGAACAGGTTGAGAGAGGCTGGTTTACGTGCCAGAAGACCTTATTTTGGCCCTGTGCTTCGACAACAACATCGTCGACATCGAGTTCAATGGTGCACCAACGTTCAGGCCTGGAACCTACCGAATTGGCGTAGAATCTGGTTCAGTGATGAATCACGATTTCTATTAGAACGACGCGATGGAAGAATGCGGGTGTACAGACGTCGACGTGAACGTTTCGCCGACGCTTGCGTTCCCCAGGTGGACAGATTCGGCCGGGGAAGTGTTATGATGTGGGGAGCGATCACCTGCTGTAGGAGAAGTGATTTGGTGATGATCCAGGGCAACCTGACAGCTCAACGGTGCTGTGACGAAATCCTACGCCCACACCTCCTTCCAATCATTGATCGCCAGAGGGAGATGTTTCAACAGGACAATGCCAGGCCCCACACAGCACGTCACACTAGAGACTTCCTCCAGAACCACAACATCAATGTGCTCCCCTGGCCCTCAAGATCAACGGACTTAAACCCGATCGAACGTCTGTGGGATGCCCTGGACAGACGGGTGCGACGCCGTAACCCTCAGCCCCAGACACTTCAGCAACTCGCACAGGCACTACAGGCAGAGTGGGCTGCGATTGGGCAACACGAGATTGTGAGACTTATTCGTTCGATGCCCAGGCGATGCCGTGCAGTTCTGGATGCCCACGGTGGTCACACGAGGTATTGACTTCAGCGCCACCACACGTCTCCATGTGACACTCAAACTGACTTTCCTCGAGTTGGTGCCAAAGACGGATAAGTCTGCATTCCCAGTGTACAATTTCGCTATATTTCATTGACTCATAAAGCCTACAAGATGTTTCAAAATAAACATAAAAATACAGTTGAAATTCCTATATGCGTTTCTTCTTGGGGAGAGTATATGATGTGCCGCTGAGACTGGCATCCAATGATCGAGGAAAAAAACAAAGAAGCGCTTTGAGCATGCATGTGGGATGGACTATAACGCTATATCTATACCCATATAATAATAGCTATGATTATGTCATAAACCACATGTGTCACATGCTGATTGTAATGTAGCCGGAAACAAACTGACTGTGGTAGAAATTCATGTTTCAAACTGATAATTGTCTAAAGAATCTGCTATATTCCTGCCTGAGTTTGAGAGTATGCCACTGACATTTTCTTTAAGAAAAAATTAATCAGTTACACTTTTTTACACTTTTTAGGTTAAAGCATCCTAGCATATCCCTTTTGAAGATATTTCGTTCTTTGGGCAGATGTTTTCGGTTTCACCAAGAGGAAGTTTAGATTTGTTTCATCAGCCTTTGTGGGTAGTTTTCTATATAAGGGAGGTAGTTTTTACAAAGCTTTTTTAAAAACACAACGTGGCAGAGATTGTGAAAAAAATAGACTAAGGTAATAGATGTTATGTTTGTGTTCACTGCAGCCCCGCGTTCTACCACAGATTATATTTTAAAAAAATGGTGTGTTTTTTGGAATTGTCCTTCATCGTAGTTAGACGTCGCCTTTTCTTACGGAAACAACTGTTGTTGTATTTTTTTACTTTCATTTTCCGTTATATATTGTACCGCCGTGTAAAAGGGTATATAGGATTTCTTCAGGGATATAACTATGGTGATTCGGCCACACAGCAACCGTGTCTGTGGAACCTTCCTGTCCAACGTGGTGGTTATACCAGCAATCGTCTCTCTAAAGCGTCCCTGTCCAACGTACTGATTATAACAGTAACCGTCTCTCTGGAGCGTTCTTGCCCAACGTACTGATTTTATCGGCAACCGTCTCTCTGGAGCGTTCTTGCCCAACGTATGGATTATAACAGCAACCGTCTCTCTGGAGCGTTCTTCTCCAACGTACTGATTATATCAGCAACCGTCTCTCTGGAGCGTTCTTGCCCAACGTATGGATTATAACAGCAACCGTCTCTCTGGAGCGTTCTTGCCCAACGTACTGATTATAACAGCAACCGTCTCTCTGGAGCCTTCTTGTACCACGTAGTAGTTATTACGTCAATCGACTCACTGGTGCCATCTGAACTTACTTACTCATAACGAACGTAACTGTCTTTCTGGTGCCATCTCGTACAACGTATTGATCACAACAGTAAGTCTTTCCCTATAATGTTTCTGCTCCTGCACAATACATCAATTACCGTTTTTCTTGCGTCGCCTGACGTGATGTTTGTTGGATCATGTGCACCACTTATGGTTCGAATCCAAGATTCAGATTCTTTGTCAGTCGCATACACGTGGGTTTCACCAGAGTGGTAAAGATGCAGGACGGGTTTGTTCTAGAGACTCGTCCACGTTGACCCCGATAAATGAGTAAGGTCACAACCAAGAGGCCCATTCTTAATATTGGCCTCCGACAGTGGTAGAGTTGCGATCGTTTTGTTGGACAGGACAATTGAATCGACTTTCAACACATTGGGCCACAGAAACTTTGATATTCCCAGGAGTGTGTCCAATGAGAGACCATATGGTGTTAATATAGAGCCTATAGTGTCCTAGATTGACCATCTGTTTGACATACTTTATAGCCACAGTTAGATCCCGGAAGAACAAACAGACTGAGTTGTCTCCCCGGAAAACTCTCCACTGCCTGGCGCGTTCATTCGAAACGGATCATGGCGGATGATGTCGTAAGTGCATGTCTTTCTCATGAAACAAATGTTTACCATAATCTTTTACGCACTGCCATAAAAACATACCCATTTACAAAGTATACAGTATTACAATATAACTGACTGAACGAATATTACAGTTTTAAAAAATAAAAATTCTTTAACAGTTAAAAAGTTACATTGTCCAAAGATATATTGGGAAATCAAGGGCAGATAATTATGTTTCTAATAGAGGCTATCATGGTTTGATCCCCTGCTTGCCGCCTCCGTGGTGTAGGGTGAGGTGAGGTGAAATGAGGTGAAATTTGGTTTTAACGTCGTGCTTGAGAATATTTCGCTCATATGACGACATGCATGCGTGTGTATGTGTATGTGCGGCTGCTTGTACTAGCCCAGACTGATGCTGGTTTTATAGTGCTAGCTCACTGAGATACCATGCCGCAGTGAAGCATGAATACCGCACTCAGACACATTATACTGACTCCGAACCAACCAGTCCTTGTTGTACCAATTAATGCCGAGCGCCAGGCAGGGACCAATAAGTACCATATTTTAACGTCTTTGGTATGACGCGGTTGGGGATCGAACCCGCGACCTTCCACTCTCCGGGCGGACGCTCTGACCACTACACCACGGAGGCGGTCCGTGATGATGTATTATGAAGGGATATGACGTTTTGTTTTGTCCGTGGTGTAGGGAGGAAAGCTGAAAAACAAATAATCTGAGAACCAAGAACAAAAAACGCCAGGCTTTAAACAATGACATTTTAGTTTTATCTATACTTGCCTGTATGAATAACTATCTTTTTCCAAATCTGATTCATATAAATATCTTTTAAAATCTTTTGTATTTTGCTTGTTCCTTAATGCTTGTAGGGTAGTTGGGGACTCTAGTGGTTAAAACGTTCGCTCGATGGACGGGTTCGATCCCCTTATTGCGACAATGTCTCAAGCACAGCTGCTCAGAGTCCTATAATACAGGCAAAAGCCCGGACAAGTGTAATCACACTGAACGCGTCCTGCACAACAATGGTCCATCGATGTCTACACACAAACGGAAATACACATAAGTAAGGAGAGCATATCACTCTTTGAACAGGACCCAAGAAGATCCGGGTTTTTAGAAGCCCATGCTTGTCTTAACAAGGCGACCAACGGGATCGGGAGGTCAGACTCGTTGACGTGGTTGACACATATCATCGTATCCCAATTGTGTAGATCGATGCTCATAATATTGATCACTGGGTTATCTGGTTTAGACTCAATAATTTACAGACCTCTGTCATATAGCTGGAATGTTGCTGATTGCGGCGTTAAACAACAAACAAACAAAAACACCTTTTTCGCTGCCGTGTTTTCATGACTAGTCCAGATGACAGGTGGAAACATGATTTCACTGGTCTCAAGAGTTATCATAAGGCAGAAATTTTACTATGTCACATATTCTGTCAGTTTTCACTTCAAGGTTGTAGCAAACTCGATATGTTTCAGAATTATTCCACTGACTTGCTACTACTGACCAATGGAGTGGAGTGAGTGAGTGAGTGAGTGAGTGAGTGAGTGAGTGAGTGAGTTTAGTTTTACGCCGCTTTGAGCAATACTCCAACAATATCACGGCGGGGGACACCAGAAATGGGCTTCACACATTGTACCCATGTAGGGAATCGAACCCGGGTCTTTGGCGTGTTGAATGAACACCTTAGCCACGTGTATGATAATGATTAGTACTAAAAAGTATTATTAAAAACATTTTATGTTAACTTTCACAAACAATTAAATTTGTTTATTATTATTTTTCCCCCATTCTGGCATCATATTTGTACTTTGTCGAGTGTGTGTTATGCTGTAGTATGAATGATTTTGATATCTTTATATTAACCGGATGAAGGTATTCGAATGCTTGTAAACAAAAATGTTACTTATGTGGTAAAAGTGTATATTTTTTTATATTATATTTAAATATATCCCTACTATGTTTTAAAAATTCTCTCATAACCTTTTAGGGTGGCCAATGCATTTTACCAGGGCAATAGTGTTTCACTTTTCTGTAAAAGTGTTGGGTGAGAATACAATAAACAATTTCTCTCTCTCTCTCACCCTCCCTTCCTCTCTCTGTCTCTCTCTCCCTCCCTCCCTTTCTCTCCCTCCCTCTCTCTCTCCGTCCTACTCTCTCTCTCTCTCTCTCTCTCTCTCTCTCACGAGGCTACCCTACCACCCCACTTGCCAATGGAGTCTACGAGCACTGATTTGTTTTACTTGCCCTCATCACAATTTAGTTGTATCGGGCTCGCAGACCATCGTGAATTATAAATTCTGCTTCAAGACACAAACAACAGTTCATCATGTACATGTAACAAATATTTATTTCATCTTGGCACAATAACCCACAAACATTACACCAACGGGCACTTCGTTGGTGAGAAATCGTCAGCACTTTATCTGAATTCATAAATAAAGGTCCACATTGACAAAACCAAACAATAACGGGATCCTTAGTGTTAAATACAACGTGATATAGACCACTTTAAAAGATAATCCAACAATATGTGGTCACCAGTGTACGATAATCAGTGGATATTGCACTCCGCCTTCCTAATCATACAGTCTCTTTGGAAACAGTTTTTTCCACAAATTGTTTCTTTTTATTTTCAAACCACGTCTTGTTTTTGTAAAATCAAATAATAAACAATCATAAACAAATAAACAACCATCAGTGTTGTTCGGAACTTCCGGTGTTGTCGAAGGTTACACGGTAGACATGCAGACGTTCACAATGATCGTAGCATTTTGAAGGCTCGTTTGAAATATTTTGAATATTTTGTTCTCAATTTCGGCTTGTTTTAACCACGAGTCTTTTTTTCACACTACAAATACTACATACAACTGTCATCAGACACAGTGTAAACGATATGTGACATAAAATTTGCATTTTGATTTTGACACGTTGTAAAGAACAGTCCATAACAAAAGGTAAAACGTCATCTGGCATGTGATGTTTTGTCAAATTAGTTTTTTCAATTACTGTCAGTCTATATCTTTAAAGGACGTGATGTCTTAAATACATGTACAGTGTACTTATTATAGAGGTGAATATTTACATTTGAGGTCAGACAATTTCTACACGTAGTACGCATGCGCAAAGTCAATATACATATTCATTCATTCAAAAACAGTCACAACTATACATAAACTGTGTAGAGACCCACGTCAACATTTCGCGAATCTTTCATGGCGTCAAATCAATTTGTCATGGCATTTCTCAACATATTTTGTTGTCATGGAGACAAGTTTATGTCATGTTCAAATAAAGTTCCAATTCCAACATGGCGGACTCACACGAACCTCAGCAGTCCGGTTGCATGTCTCAGTATACACAATGTTTGACCTTGGGACCTGTCCTTGACCTTGATCATATCAACTTAGGTGAAGGACGCCAACCCCATGGCGGTTCTTCCTGAGCAATTGTAGATTGTCACTGTTTCAACAGTCAGATGCGTCAACACAACGTCGACACTCAGATACGTCAACACGACGTTGACTACCTCAGCCTAGTCAGTAGACGATGTTACTGCATCCGCTGATGCCGAGACGCATCTCGTGCTCTCGGGCTTTCATTCTGAGTGCAGCGATACTTGAGGAACGGCGTTCTGAGTCTACAGCCCCGGATGTGGGAGAGGAAAGCCCGGGAGCCGGGGGAGTTATGTCAAAGTTTTCCCGCGCTTTTGCAGCCGATGACGTCATACTAGCAAGCAAATGTTGAAATGTTCCAGGAGGAGGTACCGGGACTGAGAGGGGTGTGAGCGTGCGCAGTCCCAGACCGGAAGTAGCTGAGGCGGAAGAGAGTCCGAACGTAACAGGACTGTACAACGCTGACGTCACCGTCGGAAGTGACGTGGCAAGGCTGTATCTACTGAGCAGCTGGTTCTCGTAGGTCTTGAGCAGGAGGTCGGAATACGTCTGAGGAGGGTGGGCTTGTTGGGGTGGGAGGACTCCCCTGGAAGCCATGTTCAGGGATCCTGTGTACGGGGAGTATGGGTGTGCTTGTGTTCCAACCTTTTCCTTCTTCCGCCATTTTGCTCGTCGGTTCTGGAACCACACCTGGAACAAAAAATAAACCAGCTTAAGTTTTGAGTTGAGATTAGGTAACAGTAGAATAATTCTTACCACAAAGTGTGAGTGAGGGCGTGAGTTGATGCGTGAGCGCGTGATCGAATAGGTGAGTGAGGGAGGTAGTGCGTGAGTGAGCGAGTGGGGTGGTTGAGTGCGTGGGTGAGTGAGTGAGTGAGTTACGCATTAAGATGAAACCCTCTGGTATGGTAAGTAACCATGACGAAACACGGCCCCTTCTCCAAGAGAAAGATCAAGGACATGAACGTTCAATGTCGATTTAATTTTGACATATATAAGTACAGACAGCGTCTTCCAGCATCCTGAACGTGTGAATATTTTCAATAAGGTACCTCAAGCTCAAATCAGTAAAATCAAATGGTCGCCACCCAGACGATCAGGCGCCCACTTCCCCAACCCCTAACATTTCTTTTTAACGCTTTTACTAATATTTTCTATTAAATAAATCGGGGCAGGGTGGAAACTTAGTGGTTGAAACGTTCGCTTATCATGCCAAAGACCCGGGTTCGATTCTCCACATGTGTGAAACCATTTCTGGTGTTAAAAGCGGTGTAAAACCATACTCACTCACTCACTCATTGAGTGGTCAGACTCTGAGACTTGTCTGATGGTGGAAACCATGCCATAGCTTTGATTATGCCATAAACCACAGGTGTTACATGCCGAGCGCCGTAATACACCTGGGTACTGACCGCGGCCACTCACTCACTCAGATCAGTCTGATTGTTATAATGGTCATGATCATGATGATGTGATGATGATGACGGCACATGGCGGAGGTAGAGGGGTGGGGACGGACACGTGTCTATCACAGGGTGACGTCGATGACACGGGATGGGCGTGTCTAGTGACTTCGCTTCACAGCGGCGTTGAAGGATGAACATTTAGCTGTGTTTTGAGTCAACGACGCTATTGTGTAGGTGTGTGACGGAGTTAAACACGGCAAATGTCTGAGCTTACCTCGACACGTTCACTGTTTACTTTCCAATTATTTCTGAGAGGTGACACTTGAAAAGGAGGGGGACCTGAGACAGCGTTCACAACACGCACCCTGGACAGGGTTAAGGAGAGAATATAGGGGTCGGATGTAAGGTCGGAGTTTGCGGGGGGAGTTGTGGGGGGGGTGGGTGTCTGCTGAGGCTTTACAAAAATCACGGAGAGGCGAGTCGTAGAGCCAGTGTATCGGTGGGGTAATGTCTGGGTGGTGGGTGGTGGGGTATGTGGGTGGTCGGGTGGAGGGTGATGAGTGATGGTGTGCGTGGGGGTGGGTGGAGGTGGGGCAAGGGGTGAAGTGGCGAGTGACGGTGTGGTGGGACAGGGGTGAGTGACTGTGTGGTGGGACGGGGTGAGTGACTGGGGGGACGGGGTGAGTGACGGTGTGGGGGTGGGGTGAGTGACTGTGTGGGGGACGGGTGAGTGATTGTGTTGGGGGACGGGGTGAGTGACGGTGTGGATAGGGTGGGATGAGTGACGGTGTGTGTGTGGTTCGGGTGGGGGTGAGTGGCGGTGTGTGTGGGGAGTGACTTTAAGGGGGTGGGGTGAGTGACGATGTGTGGAGGTGGTGTGTGTGTGTGTGTGTGTGTGTGTGTGTCAGTGACGTTGAAGCGGGGTGAGTGACGGTTTTGGAGTGAGGAATGGGATGTTGAGTGGGTGGGTGGAGAAAGGAGTGTGCTTGTGTGTGTGGGCGCGTGCGTGTGCTCACAGTTTGTATTCACATATCCATGTTAGCATTCACGGAAACATATAATGAAGTAGCTAGTCATTCGGGAGGAACGCTGGAGACAACAATCTAAAACGGGCGCTAACATCATCATACATTTACATATCATATCTTTATCACGAGTCGGAGTCGGAGTAAGGAGGCGATACAGAATCGAACAAGGACCTACGGTGAAATAAACGAACACACTATCCATAACTCTACCTAGCACACTCTCAGCGGGTACGTTACGTTTGGTGATGGAGGTGGCCGAAGGCGGGGGCAAGGCAAGTGGAGGGGGATGCGGGGTGGGGATAAAGATGGTGAGTGAAGAGGGGTAGTGGTGGGAGAGGGGGGGGGGGATGAGAAGGACGAGAATAAGGAACAACCATCGCGACAATCCCCCAACCGAGGCCGATCCAGCAGCGGGTAACCTCTACGGTCAGTTATGTTTGTTAGGTCAGCGGGTTAATTGTTGAAGACGCTTCCCCTAAATGTCCGTAAAGGCTACAGGGTTACAGAGGCGGCCCACGACAATCTGATTAGACGAGCCATGAGTCAGTGTTGAAAGGCCAATTTACCCTGTTTCCCTTCCCTCTACAGCAAATACAACAGATGACACTGAAACCCGACCACTGGTCTTGTGTGTCGTGAACCGTATACCCTCCGCCTTGCTACCTGACAAGGTGTCCGCCAAGGCGAATGTGTAGTTCCAGGGAATTTGCAGACTGTGTGAGTACTCACTTAAAATTAAAGGTGGGAAGGAAGGCCGACATGATGGCAATCTAGGACGTGTATATCTCTGGCGTAACTCACAAGCGGGATCTGGCAAACCAAACATCATAACCGGTGCGAAACGCAGATTCGAACCCACGGTTACAGTATCCGCCTCACTCAAGGGGCACAACTCTGGACACAGACATTGGCACTTTAAACAAATAGACCCCGGTACAATATTGATTTTCGGATGGTAAGACATTGCTCTAGTTAAACACACGTGCAGCATAGTATTTCATATCACGGTGAAACTAAATTTCGGTTTAAAATAACTGACGAAGTATTTTACTGCAGCAAATATCGGGTATAATCACCGGTACTTATTAAAATACAAAAGATATATAGAACATATTTCACGTAATAAACCAATGAATAACTTCACAATGCATGTGTTTCCCATATTCTTTGACCCATAAGCCTCCATTGTACAGGTGACATGAATGTGTTTCAAAAAAAAAAAAAAAGCGGTTGTGTCGAACTCGGATAACTCGAAGTATTAATGCGTGTTTCTTTAACTTCGATGTAACGCTGTTTCACTGTATGAAAAGAAGGGTGGTCCAATGAAACATTTTGCGGTTGTGTCGAACTCGGATAACTCGAAGTATTTACGGAGATTTCTCAGCTTCGACATAACGCTTTTTATCTGTACTTCTCTGCCTGACACTCGGCATTATAGGGGTAAAACAAGGACTGGTCGGCTCGGAGTCAGTATGCTGTATCTGACTGGGGTATGGCTTCTCACTGGTGGGGTAGCCTAGTGGTTAAAGCGTTCGCTCGTGGCCCGCGTTCGATTCCCAACATGGGTAAATGTGTGAAGCCCATTTCTGGTGTCCCCGTTGTGATATTGCTGGAATATTGCTAAAAGCGGCGTAAAACTAAACTCATTCATTCTCAGTGAGCTAGCACGATAAAACCGACCTATGCCCAGATAAGTACAAATGGCCACACACACAACTACACCTGAAAGGACGTCACTATGTAAGAGCAACTTTAAAGCCCATACCACCTCGCCTCATTCTTGAGCCTAACATCACTTTATCAGGAGAGAGGATTTTGGCCGCCGAGTTGCCAAGAAATGAAACATGCATGTGTAACGCAAGACCGAAAACTGTAAAACGAGACTAAAGTGCTTTATAAGCGTTAAATGGCCCCTTTAACATAATCAAATAATGAACGCCACACATTATAGTATCATACAATTTAACTGAAAGGGACAATCTCGAACGCATTTCCCACAAAAACGTTATTGACAGATATAAAAACGACCTGCGATCACGAGAAGATAAACTTCAGTCACTTCGTTCGTACATCAGACAGAAGGATCACGACAGTACAGAAAGGTAATTCACAAAGTCACCAAGATCTGGTGATTAGAGGACACAACACGGACGCTGTTTGGACGTCGGAATCCACTTGACGTTGCCGTCAACCTCTTGTCGTCATGTGCCAATACTACAACCGCTAATTATTGTAAACCTAGCGTTTTTTCTGTATGGCGAGCCATGTTGTCAAGCTACTCGGATGTCTCACTGTCCGTGTAGAGAGAAGGGAAGCCAGTGTCAACAACGCTAGGGGGATGTCAAGCTTCGCGGAGAAAGAAGAGCTTGTACTATGATACCTAGTTAGTAGAACTAACACGGGCCTGCCTTTCTTTGCTATTTATCAGCTAGACCGTATTATGAATAGGGCAATTTTGACACGTCTATTAGTATAAAGGCCTATAAAACGCATAATTTAAACTTGGATTGGTTTTGTAAAGATTATTATTAAACACTTTACTGTACAGCCAATTTGCAAGGAACTCTCCCTTGACAGCTCGCACTTTTAGCAACCTGAGACGTTTGGAATAATGAGCCCTCCCTAGACAAGCAACCATGAGCACCATCGTCTTTGCCGAACATAGCCGATCAGATCCATAAGCACGCCTTATTATTTTGTTATGGGTTCGACAAATCGTTCCTAAAAAGCCTTCAATGCCAATTGAAAGTTTGTGTGCAGATGACAGTTTTAAGTCAATATTTGTGATCGATAACGATCATCTGTGTCGCATAACACCAGAGACGATCGCCCAGTTTGAAATGATTGATGAACCAAACCGTAAGAGTAGTTTCGGTGGTATAGGTGATACTGCTGCCCCTTGTCAGGTGACGCACGCGCAAACTAAAAACTAAACCAGTTTGGCAAATTAAGGATATTTTCATCATTATTTTAAAACCTTTAGTTCAAAGTACTAATAAAGGTTTTAAATTCAAGACTGTTTCGTCTTACCGAATCGAATATGTTTTTATGCTCATTATGGTTGTATTTTTTGTGATTGTGATGTAGATAACTATACGAACAAGGAGAAAGAGCCATTTTCATAAAAAATTGAAATGCCAAACAAAATAATGACATTCACTTTAGAATAAAAGACAAATTTGTAAAGCATACCCTGCCAAAGATAGAAGACTGATAAGGACATGCTAAAACGAACGTGAAATTATGAACGATATCT